TTTGTATATTTCTCCTAACAGCTCAACAAAACATATTGTTTTTATATTACTTTGCTACTTTGGTCAACTATATGAATATGGCTCAACAGCGACTTGCCCTTGTAATTTCTTCCATAAAGTTGTTCAGTCTTGTGTGCACAGCTGAGAGTGCACTGCAGTTGTATATTCACATTGCAATATTGTCAGTAGCAGGCTTGTATTACTCGGTCAGTTCCCTGCCGGCTGTAGGATCACTCAGTTTCATGAGCACATGTTAAACAACGTTCTTTATTGTGGTTGAGGGGCGGGCGGTGCCTTTGTGGCCCCCGGTCATCGCTAGGCAACTCATGTTGGTGAGGGCCACAGACGATGTAGGGAGGGCAGGGCACGGATTGAGAACATGCAACTCTTCCCAGTCCGTCGCAGAAACGGAAAGGGAAATACAGAACACCCATGCTAAACTGATCACCATGTCCTGACAGAAACACCCATGCCAACACAGGTAGAACATACATCCTCCATATAGACATACACACAGGAGAGGAAGTGAACCCAGGACCCTGATGCTCTGAAGCACCAGTACTTGCCAGCATACCACCAAAATAACCCTCTTTTGATGTGCATTTTTACAATATATAGCCTGTGTATTTAGTGAACCTGATTTTAGGCTACTGTTCTGCTTGTCTCAGTGGGTTTGGTGTGCCTTTTTGAGGAGATAATATTAGGGCAGTGCTTTTTCTTGGATGTAAAGCGCCAGACTTTGATGTGTGCTGTGTGGTAAGAGTGCAGAACGGGGAGTGATCAAGCCCCGATGCCTTCCCCTCCATTTTGCGAACGCTTTCTTCCCTGCAGTCTTCATGTGTGTTTTGGAGAATGGCAGCCCCTTCGGCTGTAAAAAAAAAAAAAAAAGGGAGCTGCCCCGGTTAAAATTACAAGTCAAAACAAACTCTCCCACCCTGCCTTTTTAGTGCTGTGCCAAGCCTCCGTGCTGCACAGAGCATGAGGGGAACTGACTGCTGGCTCAAGCCATCATCTTCTCTGCTGCAATGCACCCATCTGGCGTTTGTGCGCCAAAACTGAACAGTCTGCTCAAACCACCAGCCCAAAGCCAGAGCTCTTCTATCATTTCAGCTCCAAAATGAAAAAAGCCGTTCTTATTTCTAAGTGCTGTACCTCATTACAGCTGTCTTTTTTACCGCTTTTCTGGCAGCGGTACGTCCACTCCGCTGCACATGTTGGGGAATAGATTTGAGGACTGGAGGTTTGGGACGAAAATAAAATAGGCAGGGTCAACTCTGACATCTTTTGCAGGCCATACTAAGAAAATAGGTTTGAGAGCAAAGAGAAGTCGTGGTGGTGCAGTGGTTAGCATTGGTGCCTAGGAGTGCTGAGGTCCCGGGTTCAATTCCAGATCTGGGGTGCTACCTGTCTGTGGGGAGTTTGCATGTTCCCCCTGTGTTCACATGGGTTTCCTTCAGGTGCTCGGGATTCCTTCCACGGCCCAGAGACATACTGGTAGGTTAATTGGCTGCGGAGAAAATGAACCCTCGGTGTGCATGTTTGTGTCTGTCCACCCTGTGATGGACCGGTGTCCCATCTAGGACGTACCCTGCCAGCGTATTTGAGGCACATGTAGACGATTTAGGTGCAGCAACAGTGCTAGCAATTTCTTGGCAAATCAACATGTTTATTAAACAAGGAAAAATAATGGGTCTGCAGTTATTTTTCCCTGTTGGTCTCCAGTAGTTCGACAGAAAGCTGAGATCAGACTTTCAAATAATGGTTATAGTATGTACAAAATAAATGTCAGCAGGCTCTGTGACTTGCCCATACAAAATAGCATGCAGTCTTTCTTGCAATTTGCCTGCCTGCAGATATTGCTGCCAATAACTACCAACTGTATCACCTCCACAGGTCTATTATACTAGTGTTTCTCATTGTCTAATCCTTGTGGTTCTTTTTTAAATGACAAAAAAATGTGATCCATAGTCTGTAGCTGCTTTGGGATTCACTGTTCACTTGAGGAAATGATTTAAGCCTGTGCCCGGTGTGATTGCAAATGTAATTTCTCCCTCTTTTAGGATGATAGCCTAGGAAACTTTTAAACCTTGTTGTAACAACATTGTAGATATCCAAATGGGCGTTTTTAAATTAGTTACAGAGGGAAGTGCAGACTGCTCTTAAATCTACCCTGCCATCAGTTTTGAAACTGAAAGGGTCTAAACGAAACACGCGTTCATCGTCATTCTGGATAGTGAATAATACAAATTTCCAGAATGTGGTCATGAGATTCTTTCGTTAATCCTCATGTAGGAAATATTCTAAAGAAAGTCCCTTTGTCACTACTGTATAGGATTCAGTCTAAGGAGCATTGTTTGCTTAGTTGTCACCGAAAAACATATCATTGGAGACATATTTTTCCCTTTTATGTGAAAATTGTGAATTTGAACAATCGTTTGACAAGTCTTGGCGACTTCAATGAGCACCAGATTCATTTAATAATCCGATCACAAGTGCAGTAATAACAAAAAAGGATTTTTTAATAACACAAAAAAACAGCACTGGGACTTATGAAGAGACTTAACCAGCTGTTGGCAAAATACCATTTTCAAGCCAGTAGTCCGTTTATCTTTACTTTATCTCATTACGCACATTTTTAATACAAGTTGAAAGTAAAGAAATGTGCTACATTAAAACGTACACAGCGATTTTGTTTTGGTGGGTTTGCTACGACAGCAAATGTCGTTTTTTCTCATGAGTCTCTAGTTTTTGTGATTTTTTCAAGTTGAATCACTTGCCTCTTCTCAGGTGTAGGTTTATTCGCGCCTCGCCTTTTTTTTTTTGATTACACGTGACTTTACTCTATCTGCACTGTTAAAGCGATAGCTGGGGGGGTTGAAATTAAAAGTTTCAGAGAACTAAAATAAGTATTCTGTTTTCGAAAATGGGACTAATAACTCGGGATCAATACGTTCAGTGGAAAAGGTGCTACTTGTCTACTGCTCCTTTCACACGATCGTTGTCCGCGGGGCTCCGCCTTTGGAAACAGAGATCTCTTCTTGTACTTGTGACACTGTCTACTTTCTGTACTGCACTAGACCCAAACACGTTTCTGTCTAACTAGGGGATTTACCAAGCTGTCGGTCACCCTATATTTGATGCTAGCGGCAAAAGTAATCAAATTGTCGGCCGGTGTGCGTCTATTACGCAACTTTATTGTTCTCCTAATCATAGTTAATGTAATTGTCATCATCATTATCATCACTGACGAGATTTTTAGGAGTCACGTTATCTATCCAGTAGACGGGCTTTTTTTGGTTATCTGGAACTCCTCTTCACTGCCCGTGGATTGGTATCACTGGTATCGGCGTCGCACCGGTCTGGTGCATGCAAGGCTGTGCGCTCCGTTTTTTAACTTTAAAGAAAGAAAGCGCCAGTCCTTCTCTTTAATCAGAGACTGAGGGAGGCGGTCCAAGGCGCGGAGTGTAATCCGATAGCTGCTCTGACTTAATGCTATTACATCCACATGCTGCCGCAGAGAGTCGGCTCAGAAGCACTGGTGGTGCAAGACGCTGCTACAGCAGACAGACCGCAGCTCTTGCCTCAAAGCGAGTCATCTGAACCAAGAGAACGGAGGCGAGTCTGATTCCCGATTCACCGTAAGGAAGATCATCCTGCCCTTTTTTTTTTTTAGCAGAGATGCAGCATTGCTCCGTCGGCTTATCTTAAGTCACAACAGATGGTATATTTTTGGGGAGAAAGAGGGAGAACTATCTTCTTCATTACATGACTGGAAATAATATACGGGGCGCGATACACAAACTGGTTGGACACTTCAATTCATTGGAGTTTGATAAACTGTGGAGCTAACCTGAAAGACTGGCATAAATCCCCCCCCGAGTTTCGAAAACGGCAAAGATAGAAAGTTGTCAACTGTGGGACTTAACGCTTGTTTCACGCATAAGTCTGTAATATGACTAATTCAGCGTTTATGAATTAGTCACTTAAACCAAGGAAACTGTGCCGCGTAAGAGACGGACAACGCAAAAGGTGGAAGGAAAGGCAGGAAAGTAGTCGCATTTCTCAAGCTAAAAGCCGCAAACCAAGTTGGGATAAGTGTGCGGCTCATAAAAGGAAAATAAACATTTCCTCAAAACATCAAGCGAAGACTTTGACAGCACGTCCCCCCCTCAGAATACCCTCAAGATGGATATATTCGCATATCGGCTTGGATTTTTACTCGTTTGTGTTTTAACCTCAACTGTGCACGGAGAAGAAAGTAAGTTTTTCAGCCGTTTCGCCTTTTTCCAGCCCGCTTTCCAGTAAATTCGTGAATACCTCTGAGGCGTTGCTGAAATGTTTCACGCAGGACTTCCAAAACTCATTTTGTTACTAGAAATATGTGCCGTATACAGTGTAATGCAGCCCGTTAGCGTTGTATTTACAACTGTGAACGCTTTGTTTTCTCTAAAGCCAGAAATGACCTCCTTTCGCTGTAATCGCAACATCTGTTACAAATCAAGCTTTTAAACAGACACAAATCTGGTAAATATTTTCAGATAGGCATTGTTTTCTGGCAAGCAGTACCATGTGTTTTGATGTTGCTGTTTCATTCTTCAACGGGAAAGTTACAGATCTCGAATAAAACCACGCTAACAGTACCAAGTAGCCTCAATCCTGAAAAATGCAACATGCAGTTTGACTGCGTGATTGTTCGTGAAGGGCTGTGTAAGACGGACCGGAGACGTTTCTTTAATTGGTCAGTGAAAACAATTTCCATACTTCAAAGACAAGGGTCTGGTTTTCTTTTTTAACAATGTAAACATTTGTCGCAGACAATCAGATTTCTGACGAGTGCCTTTGGGAAAGTTGTTTTCAAAGCCTTATCTATTGCGGGGGGGAAAAAGTCAGGGACACTTTTAAGATGATTAAGAGATTTATTTTAAGAATAACAAAGCGATTGTTTTTCTCACCCATTATAATACACGGTGTCTTGTGCGGACTGCAAATCCAATTCAAGACAAACGTCAGTACTAGAGATTGCTATTTGTCTTACATTTTAAGTAGCAACCCCGCAATTATTACATAGCGCCACGTTCTGTTTATCTATATAAACTTCGACTAGCTATACATTTGCAGGACACCTCATTTACCTTACGAAAAACAAAACGATAGAGTGGGGGGGGGAGTGAATAGATGCTGAAGAGGTCTCTACCGCATCTGTTAATCTAGAAGACATTTTTCATTATTCGATTCACACTAAAGCAGTCAAAATGCGAAATCGTGGCCCTCCATCTAAGCAAGCAGGCTTGCTGTCAGGGTAGCTAAATCATGCTTCGTACAGAGATGGGGAAAAAATCTCAACACGCAGATCCTCAGAAATGAGATATTAGCGTCCCCAGTTAAATATTTCAATAAATAAGCCTTTTCGGTGATCTTTTGTTTCAAGAAATAAATAAAAAACTCCGGAAAAAAAATACACAGGCGTTTAACGTACAATACATTTTAATTATGCTGGTGGGGTTTTTTGAGTTCGCTCGACAGCCTGGTCATGTGTGCTGGCTGGGAGTCGTTTTGGAAGAATTACAACTACTAGCCACCTCGTAAGTGATGGTACTTGCAGGTTACACGTTTAAAGCAAGACGACAGCTCGCAATACCCTATATCTACTTCTAATACACGTGCGATGTAACGCCCTGATTCTAACACATTATTATTGTAGTAGTAGTGACTGTACTAGTATGTGTAGTTGCAGTAGCTGGCGTCATTAATGGGTCAGAAAATGAAAAGACAGGCTTCAGAGACTACTGAAACACTAAGACCTCGTTAGCCTAACCAGCAACAGAGCAGCGCCACTTAGTTAAGGGACTGAGCGAGAGTCTCTAGCTGTTGAATCGGGTGTGTAGCCTAGTGTACAGGCAAAGGGACGTCACCGTTATCCGCGGCGAAAGCGTGGTCCGGAGCCCGTTGGGCTGGGGGTGACCGACAGAGGACTGAACCGCCGAGTATTGAATATTCCCTTCGTTTGATATAACCTAGGTTTGCAAATACGTGTCCATAAGCTCTTTCGTTCATGTTTTCAGTAGACCTCAGGGCTCTCTATTGCTCAATTGAGGCATTTCCTGTGTTTTTGCTGAAGCGTGCATTTGGTTTCCAGGGGAGAAAAAAAAATTAAAAAGATGAAACGATTACATGCTATTAAAAGAAAGGGCGCGAAGAGAATTTCCTACCTTTAAAAAATACTTGTAGAATTTCCCTAAAATATCTTACCGAATACCCAAATGCCACACTTTTAAATGTATTAACGTTACTCTAGATTTCGCCTCATAGAAATGCGCCTTCAGTTCCTGGCAATGGGTTGGACCCCTTTAAAGCAGACAATCTGCTTTAAAAATCCTCGCCAGAGCAATACTTCACATCGCTAGCAACAGCTAGCCTTTCTACTGTAGTCCTGCGTCCCCACATCAAATGTGTAATTTTTAACAGCTATTAATCGACTTCAACTTCTCCTACCGAAAAACTGAAATGTCTTCAAACAAAAATGCATGCTTTAAACCTGAGCAGACTTAAGTCGTTTAAAAGTGTACACATTTTGCTGTTATCAAGGTACAGCCAGTAATATCCAGTTCCCCAATATCAGATCCTTAAAGGGAAAATGCGTTTTAATGAAGAGTTCGCAACTCGCGGTCCACCTCGGTAACATAAAAACTACAGATCCTGTCATTTGTAAACTCGGTAAATGAGGGGAAAACAAATTTGGAGGAAAAGTTGAGATGTACCTGTCTGTTTATACGTTGTTATTACCATTTGAGAACAGCTAAGGTCGATAAGTTTCGGATGAAAATGGGTTAATTATCGATTTAACCGTCTAAGTGGTTTTTTTTGCAATAAATCGGAATAATTCGCTGTTAGTAGTTACCAAGTGGCGGTACTTTTTGAAAAATGTAAACTCGGGCTAAGGGCAGTAAAGTCGGCAACATTTAGTTGCGTTAGGCTATGTTCGCGGTAATGTAAGAAGTTCGGAATGTTAAGTCCAGTGAGGTTCATTTTTATAAACCTTTCATTGGGGGAAACGCTAGAGATCTACTTACACGTATTTTGTAGGGAATAACCAAATTGAATTTGGGGGGGTTTCTTTAGTCCGTCAGGCGTCTTTCTGCAGGGATAGGACGGGCAGCGCATTTGATTCTTCAGTCATTTCATTCGAAATAGGGTGAAATGAGATTCACATACGCGTGCGGGGCCAGCTCTATCCCATTAACTACTCCAGTTCACGGGCAGGTAGAATTACAGAGATCCTTAACTCGTGGTAGAGGCTGTGTTACAACGTGATTTCTACACGGCGTGCTTTCTCCTCTCTCTTTTTTTTTTTTTGAACGTTTAATAGTATTGATCTGCAGTGGAGTTGGCTAGTGCCCAGTTCACAGCTCTGAGCCGCCCACTAACTTCCAGTCCGTGGGCTTTGGTGTGACACCAACCACCTGCTCCATGTTTCAAGGCTCGGTTGCTGGTTATAAACGGAATACCCTACAAGGCTTTATTCCCCCCGATAGCCTTTTTATCTACGGACATTTTTATCTCCGCAAAACCGGGTTTAACAGGGTCCCTAGCCCTTTTTTTTTTCAAACTCCCTAGTACATGGTACATTCGCGTGGTCTCTGTTTAAATTTGCGCTTTTCTTCATCGTGTGCTGTGCAATTTCTCCCCATTTCCCTGTTTCGTTTCGTTCTAGTTTTTGTTGTCTTGTACAGTTTCCGCCGTGTCTGCACAGCGACGGTTAGGATGGCTAATACAGTACGTCTTTAAAACTTAATCCCCTTCCTGAGCCTTGTGTAACCCGTTTATTTTCCACTTTCCCAGGGTGTTTGCTCATATTCCAATCAGCCACCTCATAGTTTTATTTGTTCCTCCCTGTCTTCTTTCCTTTTCGTTCGTCTCCTCGCTTTCTGTTTTAATCGAAATCACCTGGGCCCAACGGCCCTCCTCCTAAACTGTATGGTTGGAGGAATGCATGACGTCGATCGCTTGCCGTGGAAGGAGTCAAGTCCCACTAAAATACACCTCAGTGATGAGATTCAGATGTGCGTCTTTGGCCGCTCTCAAGGCTGAATCTCATCCTGCCAAGTACTTCATGTTCTACCTTCCTTTGCAAAAACAATGTGTCAGACATTTTGGATCAAAGTGAAGCTTCAGCCTTAACACGAGGGCCAAAGCATCCCAGAAATGTATAGATTAATGGCAGCTTGAGTTGAAGAGCATAAGTCAGCCACAGTGATGAATGGAAGAAGTTTCCTTCAAGATCTTTTTTTTTTTCAGACTGGTAACTTGTGGAGAGTCACATGAGCAGTTCTACCCATCATTTATAGACAAATAAAGCCGATGGACTGCGGACTGTGTTGTGGTGAAGGATTGTTTACCTTGACACTTGGCGCTGAAATCAGAGAACAGGTGAAGCAGTGCAAAACAGTCTAAAAACAGGGGCTGATTTTGGTGCTCTGCATCGTGGGGTCTCGTTGAATGACTGCCGATGAATGAAGGGGTACCTCCTCTTCTCCTGCACACATGCTGGTGGGGTTGACCGGTGTGTGTCGTAGAAGTCACAATTGCTGTTCAACCTCCTCATCCTGTGAGAACTGGACAGTAACAGAGCGCCTGAGAATAGTGAAACCACAGCCACAGCCAAAAATATTTCTCTCACTTCCAGCCCTTGACAAAACCTGCATATAACGCTCACACCCGGAGGAGTTTAAAAGTACCTTGTCGTTTACACATGTACAGTACCATACGTGTGCCATTTTGCCTCTGTATCACCAAAACAAAAGCCTGTAAAGAGCTTCAGCTTTTGGAGAAAATTAAAGATTTAATCAGGGAGATAAACTGTGATGTTTCATGGTCCTTCCTAACGCCACAAAAGTAAATAGTACTTTTGCATTAGTGTACCTTTTTGTCACAGAAAGAACCTTGTTATTCCCCAAATGTCTAGTGTCTCCTGTTTGACAATATTAGGTTATTCTTTAGATTATTCTGTATTGCCACACAACAATAGTTGGTGGAATTTGCTATCGGTACAGTAAGAACACAGGTGAGACATGCATGCAACATATACAGTACAAAGTTCAATAGGACCGAAGACCGTTACGTACATATATAAACAACATACATATGTAGAACAATATAAACTTCAGCACCAAAATGCTGAATTTATATAAATCTTCTGGATTTATATAACTATTCATAAACCTCTTTGGGAGGAACAGACTTAGTGATCTTGTAATCAGGAACATTATTATTAAAGCTTTAATTTTAAACACAATTCCCATAGGAGTGTATAATTGAAGGCTGAGTGTTTTTATTACCGCTTTGATATACAGTATGTGTAAGACCTGCAATGATATGCAACAGCACTATGGGCTCTTAGAGCATCATACGTTTAAAGACAGACATCTGCACACATATTTTGCCTGTTTGAAGACTGCTCTGCTTTCTAAGAATTGAGATACAGTAGATGAAACGTTATTGGTCTTGGTTAGCATCCATGACAAGCAGTCTGCTTACTGTATGTAGAGATCCACCCACACAGAGGAGCTATATCTTTAAATGTGCAAAAACAAGGTCACGTATTTGCATTCAGGGCAACAAACAAGTGCCTATTTAATCTTCCGAGGCACAGAAAAGTGCTGAAACCATGCTATCGCTATGAAATTCAAAACAAGCAAGAAAAAAAAATCCTATAAATAATGCAGTCACATTATTATTTTCCCCTTTGCCGCTTAGAAGCATTTACAGTTATTTATTGGATGCAGAGCTTGGTTCCAAACAGAATGTGAAAACACATAGTAAAATGAAAAAAGAAAACCTTCAGGTGAATTAACTGTGAGGCAAATAGTAGAAGAACGAATAAGGGTAGTGGCAGAGAGCACATTTTCCTGTTAGGCTCGACATTCTGAGTGACAACCATCAGCAGCCTCACAATTTCAATTTGTCACCAAATTGCAGACGTCGTGTTCCATTCATCCATTCAGGCTGATAAAACAGGCTTTTTTTGCCTTGCTTTTGCTGAGGCTGACTTTTAGAGCTGCCTGCTACAGTGTTCAAACTTTTGTTTCTGTAATTGTTTTTTTTTTTTAAACGCTTGCCATATGCCTTTTGGAAGGATGGCAGTCATGTTAAGAATTTAAACACCGAATCGGAATGTTCTGCTTCCAGTGTGCTCTTTTACACTGCCATGTCTTTGTCGAAGAGGTAAGGTGATTTACTAAATTGCCCCTGTAAATATGCGTGACGTTTGCCTTAGAAAACATTGTACCACAAATGTTTTTTTCCCGTTTGTCTCATGGGTGAAGGGAGGTAAATGACTGTCTCGGTTTCAGTGCGCCTCTTAAAGGGAACTCTCACTCTTCAAAATTATTTATGTTGGAGAGTGGGACTCTCTTTCCTTAACTTATTTTCCTTTCGAAAACCATTTGAAAGTGTCTGGTCATGCCAACCAGAACACGTTTTCTTATGTTCCTGTGCTCTTCTAAAGCGAAGCTCTTATGTTCACCAACCTAAACGTTTCTTGTGTTCTTAACCCATTTATAAAACAGCAACAGCAACAGCAACCAGGAACTTTGCCTTGTTAGCTTTCAAGCAGTTTACACAGCAATGATTTACTCTTACCTGAGGCAATGACCCCTTCTTATTTTTCAAATGAAGGTGGGAGAAGAAATTATAGAAAGATTTATCATGCCCTCAGTCCTTATATCTGATTGCTATAGTAAAACACAGCGGAGAGGTAATTCCTACATCAGAAATGAGTTTGCACACACAGCAGTCCAGGCTTAGTTGAATGAAACGCGGCCTGTACATGTATTTCTCTAAAAACAATAAGGGGGTTCTTGATAACAGTAGTTCCAGTCACAAGTCCATGTTAAACACAGTTTAATACAGACTTTCGTACAGTGGTACGTTGCTACCGTGTGTGAGCTCTGTTTTTTTTCCAAGCTGGAAAGGTAGAGCAAGCAAACTTTGAAGCGACAGAAACAATTTCTCACTATTGCCCCATCTATTGATGGAAAACACATAAACACTACATAAAAGAAATAGACAAGACAGCAGCATTCCACAGCCAGGGAGGTGCAGAGTGTATTTTAGCCGGGGAGACACAATAACACACACCGACTACAGCTCGATGAGTTTTAACATCCTTTCCTCTTGGGTGGAAATTAATCCCCTTACACACTCTTTTTCCATGAGCAACCATCTTTGCCTCGTGTGGCAGTCGAAAATGGCGATAATTAGATTCCCCGTTTTCTTTGTTCCTCCTGCAGTGTCAGTGAAGTCCAAGAACTCCAAAGTGCTGAGCACGCAGCTTTCAGAAACTGCTTGACCTAAGTAACTGGCCTTTTAAGAGAAACCGTAGCGGGGAAATGATCATTTTTGCTGCAGCATGCCATTGGGACTTAACTGGTTATCTGATAAGGGGACTGAAAGGTAACATATATCGATTAGAGTTTTAGGCAAAAACAAACAAAATGTAATATAACCCAAGTCTACCGCTCTCCTTAAAAAAAAAAAAGACATAATAGGATTCTAAATGTCATCACTTGTGGGTCTATTACATTTTATCAGATATTTTTTCATATTAATAGATGACACACGCATGAAAGGAGAGGCCTACAATGTCAGGTCCGAAGTCATGGTATTCTGTGTTTTTAACGAGTTGTGTTTCTCTTGCGGAATGTGTCTTATAATGTTTCTGGTATTTAGGAGATGAAATGGTTTTGAATGGATTTGACCCACAGGGTGCATTATAGTCTATAAAAGGAATGGATGCCGGCAAAGGCAGAGTGTAATTGTTACCAGTCATCTGGGGAAGAGTGCCACAATCCCAGTCTTGTCAATTACAGCCTCTTTTTCTTCAGAACCTGTTCCAAACGGTCCTGGTTAGGCCACTATGAAAAAGCTCTAAAAGCGATTAAACTAAACAAAACATCTAAGCATGCGTGTGTTACTTTTTCCTGTTGCTGGTGGGAAGCAACAAGTGATATTTCATTTCAGGACAGCAAAACGTATAATTCATTTTAGATTAATTTCAGAAGTCAGCTGCTCAAATCAACGCCTTTTAAGTTGTTAAGGTGGCCCTTTGAATTTTTTATACTGTTCACAGGCCCTCAAGAGGTTAAACCGTTGAATGTATAACTGCAGTGCTCAGGCATTGATATTCCTGTGCATACATTCTTCTGTGAATGTATCCTTCTGTCCCTGGGTCTGCCTTTCACCGAGAATAAAAAAAGATATCAAGTGCTTAGAATGAAAAGGCTTTTTCTTCTCGGATGAAACACAAGGAGAATGCGCGCACAAGCTCGATTAAGATGAGAATCAGCCGCTGAACAAAACCTTCACACTTCAGCAGAAGTGCTGCATTGTGGCAGATATTATCGCAGTACAGAATTGAGATGGCCTCTGAACTTAAAATACTTGGCAAAACTGACCTCTGAGCCCGTTTCTTTCAGCTGACCAGTATAACGACAGAGCTTACCAAGAGGGAGAGAGATTTGGATCTGGGAGATTTTGTAATGGAAGCGTTTCTCAGAAAATGGGTAAACCTTTGTGGAACTGCAGATCCTTGCACTCAGTGCTCTTAGGGAGTGAAAAAACGATTGAAATCCATTATCTTGTGTGTGTGTGCTGGAGGGTGGGAAATTTGCTGACATTATGCAAGGGGCTATCTCTTAACGTGTTCGTTAAGTCATCAGAAATCGAAGAATGCCTCCGACTTTGTGACAGCCCACATGGAATGTGTCAAAGCTCGCTTCTGTTTTCATTCCCAGTTTTATTTCTTTTCCCCCTCCTCAGAGCAAACCTGTGGAGAAGAACTCGATGCCAGTCAGGCTGGTTACATCACCTCCCCCGGTTACCCCCACGAATACCCGCCTCACCAGCATTGCAAATGGATCATAACAGCTCCTGAGCCCTCACAGAGGATTGTGCTGAACTTCAACCCCCACTTTGAACTCGAGCGGCTCGACTGCAGGTGAGACGCCTTTCTAGAACGCCTCCTTTGAGTTTTGTGTTTTAGCTCGGCACGGGAGGAGGTTAAACGTCCACTAGCTCACTGCCTGGGGGAGTTAAGCAGCCGTTGGATAGGGAAAGTTAAAGCCACAGTTGCCATTTCCATGTGAAATAAATAGGACATGGGTGATAGAAATCGAAACACCGGGAAAACTGGGCATGAAAATGGCCATTTTTTCCAATTAAACTGTTGCGCCTGGGATGTCTAAGATAAGCCACAATCAAAACTCTGCAAAGGGGACCTATAGGAGTCCTGCTTTCGCATTCTCATTTCCTTATACTTTCCAGGTCAATTTGTTTTCTTGCCAGATTTAAAGGCGACAAAAAACAGACATACAGTAAGCTTGCTGGAGTTATGAAAACTTTCCATATTCCAGTTAGTCTCCTGTAAGTCTCCTTTCTCTAGAGGTTTTGGTACTTAAAGTGACAGTTTTGACTAGGAATTAAACACTCTCTAAAATTATACCTTAAGGGCTGATGATACTAATAATACTGTTAAAAGCGTTGAATGAATATTAAGATTAGTTCTGCTTTGGCTGTGTTTCTTCAAAGTGTTATGACTACCCTCTGGTGGTCACTCTAAGAAATGCACCGGGTGGTATAAACGTGACCTGGACAAGGATCAACCCGTTCAGCATCCTGATACACTTCCAGGCGTATTTTTAGTTTTAAATGATCCCATTGTTTTTAGATAGACCTTTCAGTTTCAGATTTGGCCATGTAGAGAGCAAATATACATGTTCTATCAAGAAGTCATTCAACTGCGTACCTGTTTGCTGCCAATGAGGACTTTCTCCATTCTGGTTTTAATCAAAAGTTAACAGGGGTCTTTGCCCAAAGAAATTCGGTACCTCAACTCAGTGTAGTCGTGCTGCAGGCTACTACCATGGAATTTACAAAAAAGCACTCAAACCCAAAACCCAAAACATTTGTCAAGAAGCACGAACAGGGACCTTAAAAATAGAAAATTTGGGACCTCCAAGTACCCAAGTGATAAGTGAGCCAGAGCCAACTATGGAAAGTGACAGAGGGAAGGGTCTTAGTTGTACACATTAAGTACAGATTTATACTGAAAATTAGTCCGTTAAACTTACGCAGAAAAGGTTCTGTAGGGTAGGCCTCACATGAAGTCTCCCATTTCCTTGTAATTTAAAATTCTTAATGACTATGGCTGGCGTTGTTACTCTTTATGTACTGTGACATACCCTAAACTCAAGTATCTGCCACGCGAAACCCCTCATATTCCTGCAGGCGCGTCCCGGTTCTTCATTTTTGACCTCATGCAGTATTTAACATAACTTCCCCGTGTTTGTAACTCCCAGGGAGTGATAGATTTCTGCACATGTGTAGCTGCAGCAGACCCCGAATTAAAAATTAAAGCGCAGCTTTCTTCGCGACCGTCGTAACTGACAACATCGAAACGGCCAGAACAGGTCGCCTGCCTTTTTCAGTTGGCTTTTTTGGTTAACATTCCTCTGGAAATAATTGGGACGTACATTTTAATGCTAGCTCTCTCTCATCACTCGAGCTGCATTCCAGAAAGTGAGTAAACCAAAAGGCAGATTGTCCCCCCTCTGTGCTGGTTAATGAACTCTGAAGCGCTGTGAACTTTCACAAGGAGGTAGTTAACTACACTCCATTAGCTAGGGTGAAGGAGAAAGGGCAGCAAATGACCCAAAACGGTTCTTTACCAAAATCTGTAATTTTCCTCTCAAAGAACCTGAATCTGCGGTGACAACGAGGCCACTGAAACCTGCTTAGATTCGCCCTGAAGATCCCTCCCGATTCCAGACTGTTATCACTGACAGCCTCAGCTGAGGAGTTTTCCATCTCTAATACGGTCAGGTTCAGCAATATGTCATAAACAGTAATAGAGTGCCATCCAGGGTAATTGGTTTTCTGGCAAACGCTAAACTCCTTTTTTGTGTTGTTGCTTGTGCTTCCCCACCTCTTTGGTTGAAGGCAGAGCTACTGGAGTGGAAAACCTCGAGCTGTTAAGGCTTTATGGTTGAGGTGTTGGGACAAGGAAAGAGTGGTTGAACAAAAAGGAGAGAGAGAGAGTGGCTTAGAAGCAGATAGAGGCTCTTTGTATGGAGACCCAGGTGGAAGACAGGAATGAAAAGAAAAGGACAAACTGTATTAAGGCCTGGGGGGAAGAAAATGAAAACACAAGCAGGCCGGGAATCACAGAGCTCCTTTGTGGTTAAACGATCTTGTGACACATCCAGCAGGTCGTTGCACCCTAAATCAGCAGCACCATTCCTTTAGGGATACAGGCACGCACGTCAGATTTTTGCCTTAGTGGGACATCCCGAATCCCACATGCTTAATATGCTCTTCCATATTCCAAGTCGGAAGCTGTGCCAAAGGAATTGAAGCCGGTTCAATCAGGATTGATTGGCTGTACCCAGGGCTGCTGTTACAGCAAAAGATAGTGCTGATGCTCTGCATGCCTGCCTTACTGAGGGAGCCGTGTCAAAGAGTTGAGGGATACATCTTGTCACAAAGCAGATAACCTGAAGATTGTTGTCAGCTCAGAAAGCAGCTCAACCCTCGGAAAGCTCAGACCACTGATTTCCTGTCAAGTGCCATTTGTGCAGGGTGGAAAGCTTGTACGATTGGGTTCACAGCTTCAAGGACCACCCGACTATGTTATCTGGGCGCATCAAAGCCAGCGCTAGCACGCTGACGAAGACCTGTCTCCGCCATCTGCCGAGAGATTTTGCTGGGGCACCAACCAGAAAGCTAAAGGCTTGGATTGTAGTTCTTGAGCTTATAGTTTCACAATGGACAAAGAGCAGGCCGGTTACTAACAATAATTCATTTTCACTTCCTCGAGAACAGATATTGCCAGCTTCCCCACAGGGCAAATAAAGAACCTCATATTTATCATGTTGCCTGCCTTATCCTTATTATCGTATTTAATACTTATATATTATTAAAATGGGTTGTTACAGTGCATCTTGAGATGCTTCTGGCTGCAGACATTTCTTGCTGTGGTTGTAATGCCTCTTCCAGTACTTGAGAAAGCTGAAAATGGAAAAAAAAGCTCCTTTTAGATTTATTCACTGTGAAAGTCCCTTGGTGTGATTGTTTGTGCTGCTGCTTTGTAGATGCTGGATTCAGTTCCAGTTCAGTTTTGGACATCTATCTGTGTGAAGTTTGCATGTTTCCCTGCTTTCATATTGCTTTTGCCTGGGTGTTTGGGGTTTCCTGCGGTTTTCCAACGACAAGCTTTCTATGATTGACATTACTGAATGTTGTCCAATCCTCAGCAGCCCTTTGGCAGACCTGTGTCTCATTTCAAGGAAAATGCTCAGGTCTGTTTTGCATCCTGCTGTGACTTGCCATGACACTACGCAGGATAAGAGGCTTGCTGCTGATTTGTGAAGTCCCCCTGTAAATATATAAAAAATGTCCCGTATCACAAAGTAAAATCCAAGACCCACTAAATCGAACATAATGTGCACAGTTCAATCTAGAATATATAAATATGCGTGACCTGCAAGAGCAAACCAAGAAAACAAAACTTTGGGGTTTAAGGGCATTAGCCCTTTAGCAGAAGCGCCTAGGGAAAAAGAGCTGTATATCGAACATCCATTAGTAAACAAAGCCATAAATGCACACTTTTATTGGTTCGTGTGATTGTCCAGTCTCAGTTCTCTCAAAAGTTTGTCAAATTCCAGGTTGTCTTGGTCAGCTGAATCAGTTACATCCACAGCAGCTGAAAACACTCTCTGCTATTTCCTGCCGTGCCACCCTAAGCATCTGTAAGAAATAAGGCATTTCAGAGTTTTTACATGTGTAAGGGGTGAAGTGTGGGAGGCTTAAAGAAGAAACACACAACAAATGAAATTGCACCCATTGGTAGACAAACGGTAGAACGGGCTCGGAATTTAGATGAGGCGACTGAGCCATCGCTTGAGTCCCAGAGGAGTGCTGAAATTTCTCCCTAATAATTTGGACACTAGTTGCATGGGTTAAGAGCTATATTTCAATTAAGGGAAATATACTCTGAAATACTGATCATTTCAAACCTGGAATTCATTGTTTCAGTCCCAGTTACTGCAGACCCTTGTATGAATTGATCTCAGTGAGCATCCTCAGTGAGCAGAATGCCTTTTTGTCTGTAGTGCTTGCATTGATACATGAGGCCCTGTGTGGATTGTTATCAATGTTTATTATGGTATATTATGGTAAGTCTATGGGATGGTTTTACAGTGCTTATTCCATGCATTTTCCTTTGCATTACCACTGTTTCTCGTGGCTTAACTTCCCTGTACTCTGATTTTATTATATAACTACACAGTAAAACTATTCAGAGGAGGTAGAAGTAGTTAATTATTTCATTCTAACATTAGAGTGATGCTATGCCTCATGGTGGATTCCCATCTGGTGTTTCACCATTCAAACATGCTTAGGTCATGAGCATAAAACATTAAGACATTTCTCTCTGAAAGAGGGGTGTGCAGCCCTGGCCTGGGGACGACACAGTCTTGCAAGTTTAATAGTTGGGTTTAAACTTGAGTCAGCGCCTCTAGTCCTCTTAGCAACAGTAGGCTTAGCAACTTATTGACCCAAATCAATCATTCAGAGCTCATTTGGAATGTCCTTGGGTTTCAGAACACTTCTCTAGAACGTGTGAAATGTTGGATCACATCATTTATAAGTTGTTAATAATCCATTCATGGTAAGATATCGAAGGTAGAAAGCAGCAAGGACTAGACCTCTCCCATTAAAGAACCTGTAATCATAGCAAGAGAGGCTGATGGGAGCAATATTAAACTGTGAGTGCATGCAAAGTTACATTTTAAATAAGACACCTAGAGGAGGTCGAACCCTAATCTCGCCCACTTTCGCTCTCCTGCATATAAATGTCTCGCCTTCATCCATGTACTGTCACCTGAAAGGTTGTTCCTTTCATCCAGTCGGATTTATGCCAAATACATTTTCAATTTGCCT